CCGCAGGCCCGACCGGTACTGTCGCCGACCTCGTGGCTGATGACGATGATCCTGGCGTGGTCCTGGCAGCGGTTTCGGCACGAACATCGCGCCCTACAGGAGCCCCCGAAAAACTCGAAGCGTGGTCTTGCAGAGGTGTCAGATGCGTTGGTGGGGAAGAAGATGGGGCAGGTGGTGGCACGCTAGGAGCGTGGGAGGGCACAGGAGGTTGTACATTCGCGTCGGCAACAGCATCCACTACTTGATTTGCTCGCAGGAGAGTGAGTGCTTGTTCCAACAGCATTTCAGAACGGGAAGCCGAAGTCGAGGCGTGTGATGCAGCATGGCGTGGTGACTCAACACGTTCGACCAAAGGCAAGGAAGATGTGGGATGATCCATACCGGCATGGGCGGGGGCATGGCTTTTCACAGCAGCTGATTGTTCACGAAGTTGCATGTTGGCAAGTTTGAAAGCCAAAGAAGACCTGGTCGGTTGGCCTACATCAGCGGGAGGGCGTAAAACAAGCGGTGAAGAACAGAGAGAACCGTCTTCTGAGGCATCTTTGTTTTCCCCCAGCAGCCCAAAGCTACGAAAACCACCCCGATCATACATCACTTGCCTGCTACCGTGACCTGACCTCCGTCCCCCTTTTCCGCCGGGACTGCTGTCAGTGCTGGTCACCCTGCTGTTGCCCCCGCTCCGGTTCTGGCTCCGGCTGCGGTTACGCCTAGACGAAGGCGTGTTTCTCCCACGACGGTCTCCGCTCCGGCTGCGTCCACGACTAGGTGAAGGATTGGTGCACTGTTGACGTTCTGCGCTCCGACTCCTGCTGCGGCGATGGCGGCTCGCCGGCGAAGCCCTGGTAGGCTGGTTCCCCACGGCTTGCTCTCGCCCGCCATCTCCGGTGCCGCGCCCTCGCGAAGACTGGGTGAAGAGGCGGTGGTCGTCCGTCCCGCTCTTGGCCGTCGAATCTTGGTCACCCCAACGGTTCTTCCAGCTCTTGGACACAGGAGCCGCCGACCAACCGCAGTCCTTGTCCCCTCCAGAACCATGTGCAGGGCGTGAAGAGGCCTGTCGGGGGGCTTGCAGATCGTGCTTGAAGTCGTTGTTTGAGGCAGCACGAGCAAGAGGCAGCTGGAATCCTCCATCTTGTGTCACCACCGACGTTCCTTGAGGACCTCTATCAAAGGTGGCACGACGGAGAGCGAAAAANCGCAGTCCTTGTCCCCTCCAGAACCATGTGCAGGGCGTGAAGAGGCCTGTCGGGGGGCTTGCAGATCGTGCTTGAAGTCGTTGTTTGAGGCAGCACGAGCAAGAGGCAGCTGGAATCCTCCATCTTGTGTCACCACCGACGTTCCTTGAGGACCTCTATCAAAGGTGGCACGACGGAGAGCGAAAAAAAACTTGAACACAGACTGCCGCGAAGAAGGCGGAAGTTTCGCGATGTATGGGGCGGAAGTTTCGCGATGTATGGGGTATGGTAAATGTGCCCGAAAGCAACGGTGTGCGGTTGTGGAAATTGTGCATGGACGAGTTGTTTTATGCCAGCCCATGCAAAAAGAGCTGCCAATTTCTCCTCATCGTGGAACGTTACATCTTCAGCAGGCATCTCCAGCGGGCGGGATAGGAACTCTGTATCTCCAACGTGGAACTCGTACACCGTGGTTGCCGCCGCAAACGATGCTACGTCTTCAGCACCGGCCGGAAGACCCAAAGTCACCGAAAACTCCGGAGTCGCTGTCCTCTCCCGCTCCTTCTCGATCGTCGGAGAAGCCGCCACCTCCCGCTCCTTCTCGTGCGGCGAGGCGGCAAGATGGGAACCAAGGGGCACCTGGGATTGCGTGGGGGGGGGGNGAGTCGCTGTCCTCTCCCGCTTCTTCTCGTTCGTCGGAGAAGCCGCCACCGCCGGCTCCTTCTCGTGCGGCGAGGCGGTGCGATGGGAACCAAGGGGTACCTGGGATTGCGTGGGGGGGGGGACGATAACACGACGGCGGGGGTGGGGGGCTGCTCGTGGGTTCTGGTGGCGGGGCTCCAGCTCCTCCAGCCGCGATCGGAGCGCCCCCTGCTTCGCCCGAGCCGCTTGGGGATACGCCTTACGCTCCACCAGAACAGTTGCACGCTCCTCCTCCTGCTCCCTCGCCGCAGCAGCCAGAGCAGCTTCCTCCTCCTGCTTCCTCGCCGCAGCAGCCAGAGCAGCCTCACGTTCCGCCAAGCGCTCCGCGTCCTCGCGCTTCGCCTGCTCTCGCGCCTCCGCCTCGGCTATCTTCCCGGCAAGACCGTCGCACCACATCTCGTTCAACCTTTAGTACGCCATTAACTCGTCGTGGGGCAAGAGGATTATTTTGTCTTCCGGCGGGAGCGAGAAAGGAGGAACGAAAAAGGGGGATTCGGACGACAGATGGGCCGCTTCTACAATATCTTCCAGAGAGACACGTCCGGTGTTGTAGACCCGCTCCAATTCCGCCGGATCTGCTGTGGCGATGTTGTCCAGCAAATTATCAACGGTGAACACAATGGGCATGGGGGGGCTCTCGTCTCCCGCACCGGCCGCTGGAAACTGCTCTGCGGTGGGAGCCTCGCCCTCGGGTGAGTGATCCAGGATTTCCACATTGTCGCCCAGAAGTTCCACATTGCCGCTGGACATGGTGTCCTCGTTGTTAACAAGAACAGGGCCAGAGAGAGGGCAGCTACGATCGATTGTGGAAAGGGCAGCAGGGCCAGAAACAGCAGATGTACGATAACCAACCGCAGTTGAGGCAGCAGCACCAAGAGCAGCAGAAGCAGTAAAGTCGGGTGCGACTTCGGGAAAAGCAAGCCGGTCCATGCGAAAGGCGGAGATTTCCACAGGATAGCATACGCCCAGTGATAAAAGCTTGGTGCACACGCGGTTGAAGCGGATCCAACCAAGCAGAACAAGCGTCCAAAAGCACACCATGCCACGCACAAACAGCAGTAGAAGCTAGCACAAAAGGGCCCGTGTTACATGAAGACATGAGGTTTTCCGACCAAAATACACGCAGAGCAGCACGGCGTTCCTCCGTAACTGGTGCCGAAGTGCGAGCGAAGACCGCTGTGGGTTTGCGCTGTTGAAAGGTTTCTATTTCAAATGCTTTGAGGGTGAACGATTCCCCGAAAAAAAGTGCCATGTGATTTCGAAAAATGGAGGGAAGGCTGGTGGGACGGCTGACACCCAATTTATGTGC